ATGCCATAGCTTTTCATACAAGACACAAATGTAGTTTGCACACAATTTGTCAATCCTCTGCAAACAGCAGAATCACTCAGAGCATGACAATGGTGCTACGCTTGTAAGGTCAAACCAAAGTACGCTTTGGACACATCATGTGCACATAAGAAAGCTGGAACTGCATTTTAACCTGCATGTTAACCAGTAACCAGTTAGCATTATATAAACTGGACACTACACAACATCAAGGAGCTGTAACCTTTACGTGTTTTACTACAATTTGAAACAAAGAAAGCCCTACAGGTCAACCGTTCTATCTGAGATGCTGTCACTCGATCTTCCAGAACACACACATACAACTCACATTATGATTTTGACACCCTTCAGAACAGTAAATGCATTCCTGAGGGACTTAACTTGAATAAAGGAGTCACAAATGTGACTGAGGTGACAAATGCTAGCACAGGCACTAAGCTGTAAGGTAACTGGCAATACCACAGGCGAGCAATCAATCAGTCCGGAGGTAACACTTCCTCAGAAGCCTGACGATTATCCTTGGACCCATTATGAAATGGTTAGGAACATTAAAGCTGTCAGATGCTATGCATACACACGTTTTACACATTCATTTTCATTTCATCTCCTGCTCTGTACCTACAGCTAGGCACACATCTCCACTGGTGTTTTATAACCAGGGGCAATGTTCAGAACTGTTCTTTAACTGAAAACTGTGTCAGCTGAAACACTGCTGTGGTACTTACTCCCTATCCTTCAAAGTGGCACAGACTTCACAATACTTTTCCCAAGTTCTTCCAGTGCAAATAGCTATGGTACATTGAATTCCCTCCATACCAAATGCTATGCTACTTATCCCTCCCCCCAGGCACATGTCATTTACAAAGTTATTTTGAAGACCATTTTGCATCTAAACACTTATTACAAAACCCCAAACACTAGTGTAGAACAAGTAAACAACAAAATGGTTCTTGTCAAATCTAGCATGTCACAGCCCTTGACTTCCTTACCTTCTTTCTTTCTTCCTTCCTTCCTTTCTTTCCTTCTTCCACCCTGTACAGTACTCAGCTTCAACCCATATTTTGCATTAATTCACATCCAAGCTGGATGTGATTGGTTACAGTGTCACACACCTTATACCAACACACTTTGTCAATTAAAAAGCATGCTTGAATATCTGGAATTCCCTACTCCAAATCTCTTTGTTGCCTAATTTGTCATACTTCAGTATCTCAGAGCCAGAGGTGTTCTTATGATTTCACCATTCACAGGGGGGGAACCCATCACCACCACCACAACCACCCAGTTAGCTCTTTAATTCCTCCCTTTAAAAAACTTGGAAGCCCCCAAGAAAAACCAAGGTGAAAAGCAGCTGGAGTAGCTCAGTCAGTGGTGTCAGCAGGACGCATCCACTGAACTTTTGCCTTCCTGTTCATATGATGTCTTTGGAATTTGAGACTACAACTAAACTTCAGCTACAAACAACAGTGTGCAATGCACACAACAGGCACACGCCAGGCACGCAGAAAGGTACCACTTGAGTGGCAGTCACTTCAGTCTGTCCCCAGTCAGCTCCTGGGGACACTACTTGGGAAACCAAGAATCAAAGCAGCAAAGCCACTATCAAGCACTTACATCCTGATTATCTCTTTGCAGCTGTCACACTCCTCCAGGATCCACCACCGTTTTGCATCTATTCCATTAAAATCCTCCCATGTATCCACAATCTAAGGAAATGAGTAAGTTTCTGAGGGAATAAGTACGCAAACCTTTCAAAGTTAGCAATGTTCTCCTATTGCTTCACATAACCAATACGTTATTATTAATACACATATCTTCAAATCACACAACATGAAAATCTTCTAAGCTTATTTTCCATTCAGTGACAAATGTATTTTCAGTTGTCAAACCTATTTCACCTCAAAATGTGCCTCTGGATTATTATTATGGCACTAGTTGAGAGTCAAAACCAAAAATTCTAAATCCTTATAATAACGACCATTTCCTCATGGGAAGTTTCTTCCTTCCTATTTGCCTGATTACTGCACACAATGCATGAGTGACAAACAACACTGCAGGCTGCAAAAGTGCTATGTAACATAATCATGTAAGGTTGTCCCAATGCACTGTATATGAAAAAGCAAGGATAACATCACACTTCCAAACCAAGCTGTTAGATCACCATGATTCCTGAATACTCAACTGTGCAACCATTAAGTTATCTTTGCTAAAATGATTTAATAATCATGTATCTGGATGGAGGCTAACAGAAGGCCAAGCTATTATGTGAAAAGCAGAAATAAAGATGTGTGATTTTCTATGTATCTATGGCCAATGACTCAACACATCACTGTTCTCTTCTTCTTCACCTTATTTTCACTTTTTCCCTAGAAGCTTCCCTGGACAAAGGGCTGTATTCATCCATGTGTTTGCTGATGGACTCGGTTCACCTGTGCTGTCTGTCACAAGAAGCTGGATTCTTAATGTGCACAAGAAATGGGATCTTCTGCATTTGACAGATGTTGATTTCCATAAAACTAAAGACTTCAGTCTCTAATACCTCTGCTGCTGACACATTTGACTGAAATAGGCTAAAGAGCTCAAATCTCTAGGTGAAGAAGGAACAGACAGAGCTCATCCACAAGCCTTCCCTCCTTAGGAGACCAAGCTGCAAACACACCCAAAAGGAAAAGTTAGTTTGGAAGGGCAGAGCTCTGCATAAAACCGCTGGACTTTCACCCTGCGCTCAGCAGCTGACTAACCTCCAGAACGAGCTGTCACCCGACAACAGCACGCAGAGGTGATGCGCAGCACGTTCTGTATCCTGGCCTACGCTGACAAGAGGTTGCGGTGGGGAAGCAGCGCCCACGTTTTGCTGTCTCCGAAGTGAACTTTCTGCCTGAACCGCGACTCCCGGTCACTTGTCTGTGATCATCAACATTTCAAACCCACAAGCACTCCGCTCTCCAAACCTTTCATCATTACTTTCCCCGATGACACACACCAACACTTCCAGACCTTATTTCTCCACGCGGGGCCAACCCTCACGACACAAACAACAAAACTTCTACGGAGCAAACCCCGGCCGTCACCGGCACCAGCACGGCGGTACCGGCGGGCGCACCCGAGGGGCAGCCGCCTTCCAGCCGGGGGCTCCGCACCCCCTTCCGTGGCCCCCATGGGCAGGCCGGGCGCAGCTGGGCACATCGGGGAAGACAAAGGGACCACGGGGAGGCCCGGGGCGACAAGGGCGGGGAGGGACCCCCGGCCCGACCGGCGGGCGAGGAGGCCCGAGGCGGCTCCCGGATGGGTGCATAAGGGCCCGCGGCCCTCGGTCGCCACGGCGACAAGGCCAAAATCCCGCGTGGGGTGGAGGCGCCCCTTTGCCAACCTCCTCCGCACGGCAACCGGGGAGAGGAGGGGCGGCCGGCAGCCACCGGCAGCCCCGGCCCGCTCCCCCTCAGCCCCGGCCCCGCTGCCGCGCCCGCTCCTCCTCCTCCTTCTCGCCCTCCTCCCCCGTCGCGCTCACCAGGCTCCGCTCCAGGCGCAGGCAGCGGGCGCACCCCGGCACTCACAGCGGGGCTGGGCGGGCTGAGCAGCGGCGACCCCACCGCGGGGACCATCCTCCGGTCGTGCCGCTGCCTCCGCGCCAGTCCCCCCTCCCGCGCAGCCTACCCTGCTACTCGCACGCGCGGCACGCGGCAGCCAATCCGAGCGCACGGGCTGAGCCCTGGAGGCCAATCAAAAAGGCCGAGACGAGGGGAGGCGTTACTCGGCGCAGATGGGGCGGGGCGGAACCGGCACGGACAAATCACCACCAGAAACATTGACGGGACGGCCCAATCAAAGGCCAGAGAGGTTGAGATTGGCGTGAGACCCGTCAACAAGTTAAGGTGGCCGAAACAGGAACTGCCGGAGACTGGCACCTCAGCTGACCAATGGGGAGAGGGGGAAGGGGAGCACGCAGGGGCGATAGGCGGGCAGAGGTACTTAAAGGGGCAGTGCCCGCGTTCTCTGCCATCACCGGCTCCGCTACAGCGCAAGCTTGATGACACTGGTAGGGTTTTAGCTCGGGGAATGAAACCTTTCATCCGCTTTCCTTTTGAATTAAAGCTGACCGGAAAAGTGTTGCTTTGTCCTCTAAATTAGAGACTCAATCATTAACCGCTCTCCCGTTTGCTCCTGCTAAGCCCCCAATTCAACTACTAGCCACAATAAGACAGAGCTTCTCACTTCCAGCCTGTTGTTTTCTTCCACAGCTCTTCTGGAACTCTTTTCCTATTCCCAATGAATGCAAGCAACTCCATCTACTGATCAAGTAGTTTCCAGCCCAATGTAAATAAGTGGATAGAGTATTAAGGGTAACTTTTTTTTCCCCCAGAAACTGTACCACAGTGCAACTTGATCAGTTTGTAAGCAGCTTGTCAAAGCAGGAGAGGAACGGAAAGGAGCTACAGACAACCAATGGATTTAAAGAGACTGGAATAGTTAAGAAGAGATGAGTTTTACTTCAATACCTGAGAAAAATCAGTGTGGAAGAGCACTCGCTGCATCTTAAAACCAGTTATTTTTACAGGTACAGACCAGTTTATCAAAGATTGTTGTCGAGATTTACAATAGCTAGCAATTAGTCTGAATGCTTTCAGATATCTAACCTATACAGCCTCACACCAGTTGCAGCGCTCTTAATGGCTGGACTGTTTGTTTCAAGACTGCTCACTAGTCAATGCAAAACTCTTCCAGAATTCCTCTTCCTTTCCTCCCCCTGACTCTCACACAACAGAATTCCTGAGGAAAGACTCATAGCTTCAGGGAAACAACCAGACCCCAGCCTCCTCAGCTGTCAGACACCCACGGCATTCACCACAGCAGCCCAACTCACAGTATACGTGGTAGAAATCGTCCCAGTTACACCGTTCAGGAAACATCTGAGGAATATTCTGTATCTGATTTCAGAGGGAAAGAGCTGGACTGCAAAGAAAGTGCACATGACAAATTGTAAATGACATAACTCAAATAGTGCACGTTTATTCTGAACAGTATTTCTAAAGAGTTTGAGAAAAAAACAAAAACATGCTCCTGATGTACAAGGGCAATGATACAGATTAAAAACGGACCACCTTACTGTAAATAACCTGCTCCCCCTGCAACTTAACTTGTAACATTGAGAATGCATCTGTAAACTGTATACAGTTTGAGTGAATCTTAACTCAAGACACCAAGGGGGGGGGGGGTCTTAGCCAAATGAATCAGGAAGCAGTTGCAGATTCAAAAGAAACATCCAAGTCAGCAAACACTTTACAAAACACAGACTTTGTGCATAGCAGCTGACCCGGATTACAACATGGGGGAGAAGAGAACAGTTCAGGGGATCAGATTTTTATTAGACACAGGGCACCATCAAGATTTAACGAAATACAACGTAAGTTTATTTCAATGGTAACAGTATGTCGTATTTAGTTGGCAGGTTTAACCATTAGCTGCATCATGTAAATTCAACCGGCTTCTGTATACACAAAATAAATTCTCTCCTTTCCCCTCCCAAAAATGAGGGATATCTCTCCTGGATGATTCTTTTTCCCCTGTACCATGGTTTCCTCTTAATAGGAGTCTTTTTGTGGATATCATCTTCATCCTTCAACTGATGTATGACAAAACCAGTTGCAGAGATTCAGGAATAACTCGTATATACACAATTTACACTCTAAAGCTGTTAGTTACATACATTTTTCTTGCTCTATCTTCACCCAGAAGAGGAAGTGCTAATATCTTTTTTTTCTCCCAACTTTCAGAAAATTCAGTTGTTCATAAGCTGTTCTTTTCAAGCTCAAAGGAGGTCCTGCTGCAGCAATGACCAAACTAACTGGAGGTCTCTGCAGTGAACAGACAATTCACACGATTTCAGTACCTCTGGGTAACAGCACTAAGATACAGCATTCTCCTCCCACACTCAACATGGGTGATACACCAATAAAATACAACTGTTTGTCACCCAGAACTACTGACCTTCACCTGCCCTTATCCATGTACAGGGAACACAACTTTCTATGAGATTCAGATTAAACCTTGTATTCAAGATTAAACAACTGTCTTCCAGAATTAACAGCCTGGGAAAAGGAGTCTTAGATTTGTGGTCACCCTCTCTTCTACCTCCTACAAAATGTTTTAACAGGAGTTACAATGAGGCAGGTTTGCTGTAGAACAGGAGCTTTAAGAATTGTTTTCAGGGATACATTCATAGAATGATGGCAGCCCAAAGCAAAAGAGACAGAAACAAAGGCTAATCCAAGTAACTTCAGACGTCAGACTTGTACTTTTAAACCTGAAGGAAAACTGTTTGTGAAACACACCGATTTGTGGAAGCCTACGACAACAGCAAATCCTAAGAGTTCATATCCCCACACCCATCTACCCAACCCAAACACTTAGTTCTATTAGAATGAAGAGCACTTCGCTTGGCACCAGAGGCAGCTATGGTCTGAGTTACAGCTGTGCTGCACAAACATCCTCAAATACAATACTATCCCTCTCCCTGCACATACTTGTCTCGGTTTGGTCTACAGATGGCCAGGGAAACTATGTTGGCATATGACAAGCTAATTGTGCTTCAATACACCCCCTTCTAGAAAGATGCTGAAACTGCCAATGTAACCAGTGCGAGCAGGTCCTAGCAGTACTAAAAATAAGCTTTTGTCAAAACTAGGCTGCCTCTGGCTGAGGAAACCGTTTGCATCTTTCTAGCCAGAGTCTGCCACAGAGTGCTGCAAACACAGATGCTCAGGCCATGCAGAGGGGCTTTTGTTGTTAAGACATCTGCCCAACCCCACAACCCAATTAGTGCAAACCCAGCAAATAAAGTATCCACTTTCCAGCGTAGCTCTGTCAAAATGCACTCCAACAAGGACTGCACACCTCTGGGAAAGGAGCAGTAATTCTGGAGCAGCTATAGTCACCCCTCTGGATATCAAAGACCACAATGTGCAATGAGGGGTGCCATCCCTTGCCTCACCACAACTCCCTGTCTTGAAATCCTTAGTTCCCAACTCACCCTCGAATGACTGGACAGCATCTACTAACTAGATGTATGCTGCAATGCACACTATAGAGGTTGGAGGTTTTCAAAGCAGATGCATTTGAGATGCAGTCTTAGACTTTAAAAAACAAACAGGAAAGGAATGCAGTTCAATATCTACTTGGGGGACGGGGCAGGTTGGTGTTGTCTCAGCTCAGTGCACTTTCCCATGTGCTTGGAGAAGAGTCCAAGCTCAAGTTGGTATTTGTATTGGCATACATAGGATTGCTGGCAACAGTGCATAGAGAGCACCGATATTCACGCAAACAAAGCATGGAAAGATGCAAAGCAGGCTTAGTAGAGGTTACTGTAGCATTGAGGTTACAGTATTAGGAAGAAGCCACTCAGCCTATTTTCCAAACCCATAAAATGCTCTAATATAGGCTGCTTTCTCTGGTGCTCCATGAACACCCTCTCAGAGAGGAGAACTGCATTATTACCACTGAACAGGGCAAGGGGAAAATCGTTTTCAGCGGGGCAAACTCTGCAGGTCCTCACCACCTCTTCCCAAAGGAGCGCATAAACACAGCAAGCCAAGCTAATCCCAACAAAATCCAGGAAACCCCTGCAAAGCTCTGTGATTAGGGCTGGATTTATGTTTGCCTTCTCAGCCTTGCTGCGTGGTCTCCTCAACCCTTGCCTCACCTCAGATGTGTCACCACACGCTTCGTAGCTGTAAAAAATGTGGTTTATGTTATCAAAGCTGGTAAGGTGGTCACAGTCACTTTTCCCATCCCCAAAACACCGATCAAACTAACTCTCAATGAGCCCTACAGCATTTCACCCATTTTTAAAGCAAGGGTCCTGCCTCACGATGTGTATTTCTACAAGGTTACTCTTGCCATCACCAGATCTAGCTCTTACTCTGGCAAAAGTCTGCTGGGAGTTGGGTAAATGAAAATGAAAACCAAAGACCACTCTAAATTCTCCTGTCGGTCAGTTAAGAAATGTAGCACCAGCTTGGGTGAGGAGTAGTTAATAAAAAAAAAAGCATTCAAAAAGTTCAGGCCAGGCAGAGCGAAAAGGTATGGTGAAGCAGCCCACCCTTCTCAGCAAAAGATGGAGGGAAAAGCCATACTTGAAAACATTGGGAAGAACTAAACATATTTTTGAGGTGGGAGAAATTAAGAGGGAGAGTGGGAAGTATTGAAGTAACATTCAAAGGTTGGGGGGGGGGGGATAAAGTACCCTGTAGGTTATAAAAAACACAATAATGTGGGAGTCAAAGGACAAGATATTGCTTTTCCTTTCCCCTCCCCCCCATTGGATTTACATTCTGCTTATTGAAAGAAATAACTGTGAAGGGAGCTTGTCACCAGGATAACCTGCTGAAGCCCTCCACACCTCAAACTTAGATCTACACACCTTTCCCCACCCCAACAAAGACCAAAATACAACAAACAAGAACCCAAAACCACACCCCTCAAAAAAAAAAGAACAAAAAAAAAAAAAAAGAAAAATACAGAAAAAAAACCCTAAACCCCAACAAAATCAACCCCTAACGTATCAGAAAGGAGAGCTCAAAAACCCACCCCAACCCCAAACATGACTGGACAATCCTCGGAAGAAGCATTACATTACATTTTGTTGGAGAGAGGTCAAGAAGAAAAAACTTAAAGAGAATGAAGGGGTGGAGTTAAAACCAAAAATCAAACTCAAGAGGCCTCTCTTTCCTTATTTGGCGACAAGCAAGTGCAAGAAAGTGTTCATTGGGGGTTTGTTCAGTTGTCGGTCTTTTGCACATCTGCGTTCTGGCCAAGATAAGGGGCTTTGAGGTTTTTCTGCAGCACGTGGGCATCTGCAGGCTCTATCCTCTTGTAGTAGTTTTTCTTCGTCTCAATGATCTCAAAGCCAAACTTTCTGTAGAAGTCAATCGCAGACTCGTTGCTGATCTGGACATGCCTGGGACAGAAAGGAAAAGAAAGAGAGAGAGACAGGGATCAGAACTCTTTGTGGTTCAGTCTTCTGCCTCCACACTCAGAACGGTCAAAGACATGATAAGAAAAAGAGCTGCCTAGATAGAGACAGGAATACTGGTGGGAAATCAGGACTGGGAATTTTGGTCTTCCCAAATCAATCCTGAGCTAACACACAGCTCCTGGATGGGCTTTCTGAGAAGTGGCAAACATCTTGCCTCATTAAAGCTCTTTTAAGGAACACAAATAACAGACAAATAACAACATTAATAGTTCAGTAATTCCAATTTTTCTTAATCTGAAAGTGACAGAGGTTTTGTGGAAATATATAACAAAGTTTGACTGCAGAGCCAATTTTACCTTCCTGTAGTGACACTTCTTAGGCGACCAAAACAGTTTTTTGACTGCTGATCCCTACACGCTGCCACACAACACTGGCAATGGTATTTGATGCAATTTTAACTCCTTGCTCACTTCCAAGTACTCCTCTCTCCTCACAAAAAGCTATGGATGCATAAAAAAAAAGCCCCACAGACTTACTAAGTCCTTTTCCCCTTTTACCTATCTCCCCCCGAGTTTTACAGATCTCGCTAGCATATTCCAAGTTTCAAGGCCTCCAAAACAGCCACCAGTTCTTCATCCTAAGCAACTAGGAGATTTATTTGCACAAGTTCTATTAAAATGAAAATAAGAGAAAAGGGATGTTTGGCTCAACAAAAGGCATTCATTAAACACTCCCAAAAGTCAGCGGACACTGCACCAGCCCATGAATCACTTTGCCATGATAACATGCTACTTAACCATAGAACCAAAGCAACTCTGGGAGCAACAGCAGAACAAAACAAAAGATCTTAGTGTTAAGCCCAATAAATACCAAAGAGCTAAAAGGGAACTTCACAATAATGACAAATTTACACACTGATAGCTAATTGGGTGCTAAGCTACATAGTACGTTCAGATAGAAGATGCACAAGCAACAGACACAGTCATAAAAATCAGTGGGCCACTAAAAGAACTTTATTATACCCAACTTTGGGACCTACTTATCGTCATCCCAGAATTCTACTTTAGGAAGTGGAAAGGGTTATGAAGGATCTGTTTTTTTTTTGCATTAAAACCAGCAAACAGTTTCTTCACTACGCACACAGGAACATGCAAAAGCAGAAATGGAAGCCTGTGCCAACTAGAAGGCATCTGAGAGTTTGTAACCGCTCCTTCAAAGGCAGGAAAGCATGAACACAAGCCAAAAGCAGCTGTACTCAGACTCGTCTTTTAAGACACCTCTTACAGAGATGGCTGAAAGCTACAACAGGAGAGGACTTGGAAGACTGCATCTCCTTGGCAGAGTAGGGAAAAACTTGAGAAAAAAGTCACTCCATTTATACTGATATTGGTGTATCAAACACTAGCATTTTTAACAGTTGAAGGCGCAGTTCTGTGGCAGCAGCATAAGTCCATTCAAGCTGTACCCGCTGTGGATCTATCCCTAACAGTGCACCATGTTTGCACCGGTATAAACCGGCATTGATGGACAGGAGAAGTGAGCACTTGGTAATCACACAGATACCAATGAGCTGGGAGAAGCATAAGTGTGCAGCCGGCAGCAAAGGGGAAAACAAAGCTTTGGCATCTACGGATTTCAGGCTCTATTTCCATGGTGATCTCAGAATGGCAGTGCTCTTTTAAGTAGCTCTGTCCTCTACCCCAGTCCTTGTTCTCAAGTCTGCATCACACCAAATATTTATGCAGGCGTGCAGTTGATTTAAAAAACAAAACAAAAAAAAAACCCCAACCCCACCCAGAATCAAAATTGGAAACAACTTCCCAAGATGGGTCAGGGCACTGACCTGCTTTACTGTGTTGCTGCATAAACAGCTGACCTGGCAGAGTGCAAGAACAGGAATAAGCATTTGGGCCTTGCTACTGAACATGAACCTGTATTGCCTGCAAGCACCTCTGATCTGGTGTTCTAACCCACACAGTGCCGTCATAAAAGACAGACAGCAAATGCACCAAAACTGCATGCAAGACTTGCAGCATTTTCCATTCTGTGGCTGACACTGTATGGTAAAAAAAAAGAAATAGAATAATTCTTCCACATTTTTTTGTTATACTCATTACTCTGCTGCAGAAAGTCATTTGTAACTAAACTACATCCAAATTCAGCAGATTTGCAGAAGCCCTTCTGAAGCAAGCAAGGCTTAGTTTTCTTAGCATCACACAAGCCCAAAATGTGACCCCTTGCTTTCTTACTAGCACTTACAAGATGTCCCATGACCCCACTGTAAAACAAAATACAAATGTTCTTGGCTCTCCCTCCCTTTGCTCCCATATTTGCCTTTACCGTCTCTCAAAAAAAATGCACGAGTAGAACTCATTTACTTACAAATAGATGTTGTCAAAAGTGCCATCTTTTTCACAGATGTTTAAGACATGATTCAACATTTTAGTTCCTGCCAAAAGGTAAAGAGATACTTAAGAAAACCGGAAATGGACAATAAAGTCTATACTTAGCTAAGGGATTTCTTAAGGAGAAGGAGGTTAACTGCAGATAGGTTAAAATGACCAAGCTTGTGAGAACTAGGCAAGGCAAATAAAACATGGCTTGTAAGTATTTCACGATGTTTCTGACTGCTCACAAAATCTAATTAATTGTTTCTTTGGAGGAAAAAAAGAAAACCAAAACCAAAACCAGACAACTCAACAACAAAACACCATCCCAGAAGCACATGTATAAAGCAACTTATTTAAACACTAGCTTCAAGGTCCTAAACTCACCTCAACTATGGGGTCAAAACAATGTATGAAGCAGTGAGAGCATTGGTAAGTTTTCTAGTAAAGACCTAGTAAAATAGTTTAAAATAAAGTCATTTTTCCATTCCGGCTTGTCAAAGCAAACAAGTTACTGTAAGGTCGTGATTAGTCTGGCCTACAAATCTGCAACGTGGAGAAAAGAACTAAATGCAGTATAGACAGAAAGCAGGTATTACCCCTGAGCAGTGATAATCAGTATTGAAAAAGTTAAATAGAAACACCCCTTCCCTTTAGAAACCTAATGAAGGAATGCTGTGTTCTACTTATACATGACTTGCATACTGGCTGTGTACCTCTAACAAGTTATTTCATGTGTCTGTGCATCAATTTTTCACATCTATAGGAGCAGAGTGTTTACCTCACAGTATAATAACACGATTAAGATTAAAATACTCTGAAATCCTGAATTAGAAAGTTCTACAAAAAGCCCATTTCTGAAAGGCAGGGAAAAAGGAGCACATCATAAATCATACCCCTTCCCCAAAGTCCCTTCCAGAGAAATCAGTGGTCTGAAAGTGAACGATCTTGGTCAAAAATCTGAAAGAGCATTTAGTAGGCTGCACAGCAATCTGATTTCTTTGAAGATTCAGATACAAAAGAAGATCCTCCTTACCTATTCCTAGCCTTCGGTAGGGTGCCAGGCATCCGAGTGTCATTATGTACAGTCTCTTCTGGTTCTGCGAGTGATCCACCCTACAGCACACTGCTCCCACTGCAATGTCATTGAAATAGGCTGCCAGGGAGGGAAACAAAATGTTATCAGTCACAAATTCAAACTATACGTACAGCTCCTTCATTTACACCCTATTTCCTTCCTTCCCTCTTGCTAATTCTCCCATCCAAATGAAATATCATACTTTGTGGCTTAACACTAGGAGTGACATCACCAATGGTGCTTTGACAAACCAGCTAGCAGTGACATCACGATATAAGCTGGCAGCACACATCACAGGTTTTTTGTCATAACAGAAAACCTGCCCATTCCCAGTAAAGTGGAATCTATTTAGAACACAAACCCTCTGATGTTCAGACTGGGGATTTTTTTGAGGTTCCCAAACAGTTCTTTTTCACTACGTAAAACAACAAAATAGAAGAATATGCTATTCAAAACCATTATGGATAGCAATGATGAGCACTTCTGCCACCATAGCCCACAATTACTGGCAAGAACATCTGTACCTAATTTGGCTAGTTCGCCAACCTCCAGTACATCCTTGTAGAACTTGTCATTGTAGCTGACAGGAAAAATGACCTGGTTTAGCCTCTTCAGCTGCTTAATGTTGTGTGGCGTCACATCTCCCAGCTCGATCCGGCTACTGGAACAAATCAAAACATGCTTAACATCTGATACACATCCAAACTTAATGGTTTTATTTATGCTTAGAGAACTGTCCCAGCTAAAAATCAGCTTGACACATATTTGAACTGCAACATTCAACCTGTACGATTTAAGTCTTCTGTTGGTGGCTTATTTACTCCCAAACCCACTTTCAGTCTGTACTATACAGTCAGAAGGTTCTCAGGCCACACTTAATAATGATGTACCATAGTATATGTGTGGGTTTATCAGATGGAAGACAGGAAGAGCACACGTTTCTGCAGGAGTATTAGCTTTAACTTTATCCCATTAATTTCCTCATCAAGACTGGGAAAAGGGTGGGAATTAGGGGGAGGGGTGTAGGAGAGGAGAGAGAAAAGATGTGAGGGACAGGAGGCTAGAACAGAGACCAAGAAAATGAAGTCCTTATCTATGCTTCCAAGACAGCCTTAATTTTACCACTTGATCAATATAAAGCTTATACTTGGACAAAGTATAACTAGACATCTATCTGAAAAACAACACTGTGTGCAGCATACTCATATGAAGCCTAATATGCAAGTGTGACACTCTCAAGGTGATATCTGTATTCTTCCTGCTGACAGAGAGCAGAATCACAACCTTAAAATACACAGTACTATACTGAATTACACTCAAAAGAAACAAACCAAACTCTTCTCTCTTTTCTAAGACTAACTTCCTGACAGAAACACTGCTTACATAGAAGAATATATATATATAAGAAAAAAAAAAATACATATATACACACATACACTAGTTGTTCATATTCCCAAGTCAGTTTTTTGGCTGCAGCTGGGCAGGTTTAATGAGGACTACAAGAATGAAAAAACCCCAAACAAGATAGTAAAATTCTTTTCCCAGATGGTCGCCAGAATAGGTAGGAAGAGAAAAAGCCAGTGCATGCTGAGTTAGAGACACGCAGTCCTAGGTTCAGCCCAGCCTTGTACCCAGGACACAACAGCATAGATTAACTTCAATAATACAGTGAAACAAGGAAGATATAACAGCCTACAACCTTCTTCAAGAACTGTACCAAGCAATGTGGTGTACAATCTGTCTCTGCTTTATTATCTGACCTTGATTATACATCAAAGCCCCTTAAACAATTAGTACTCCATGCATCATATCAGTTTTAGTTGTTGCTACCAACTGTGGGTCATAAATACACAATGCTTTCTAGACATTGTACTGCAGCCTGCAAAGCTACCAGAAAAAGCTACAGGAATGAAGCCTTTAACGTGTACTTCAAGCAGTGTAACTTGCCCTCACAACCACTTTCTCCTTTTCTTTTACAGCAAAAGATACAGTCTTCAGATCTGCAAAGGTATAAAGGATGACCACTGCCCACTCTGCAACGACACAGATCAGACAATCTCCCCACTGAGCCTTACAGAAGCTAAACAATTTCTTAGTAGCACCTTTTAGAGACCCATCTAGCATTAACTAATGGACTATTGATGATTTTGCAATTCTCCATCAGATTATTATGTTCCAGTTACTACTTAGAATTAATGGATGGTATTTACATATTGAACTTTGCTGACTCCAAAATTTAACCTTTTGTGCCAAAGACAGTAGAAAGCCCCCTGGTGTGAAGCATCTCATGCCAGTATTGCTTCCAAACTGTTCCAGGGAGCTCCTCATCTATCTGCCCCTATACAGCACTGGACTTGTCAGTCTTTTTCCTCCCCCAGTGCAAGGGCAATTGCAAAGCAACTAATCCTTGTAGTTTGCCCCGAGCTCTGCCCAATTATTGTACAACAATCTTGAGAGACATCTCACTAGAGCTTAGTACAGCAGTGATCTCAAGGATGACAGAAAAAGCAACAGCCTCCATATTCTTGCATCTCACCCATGCCACGATACCCAGGCATACTACAAGCACCAGCAGTGGAATATATTTCTGAAGTTTCTAGCTATAAACCACTGAACTATTGTGCTCGAAATACTCTGCAGTACCTCTTTTCCATGACTTCCGCCCTCAGCAGCCCTTTGTTTCACAGCCTTTTCCATCTCCTAGATTATTTCTGCTCTCAAGATTCCTTTCTTCATGTATCACCACCTGTGCAAGTCCCTTTGATAATTATATTCCAAAATGAAGTAAGTACTGTGCTAGTAAGGACCATCTCCTCACATCACAGAAGGACTCCCATTGTAAACAAGCACGTTATCAAAGTTATCAGATGCTGTGATAACTTTAGGAGTTGCTTTATGCCCAGCTTTTCAGCCTAGCACAGCAGGGCTTCCGCAGGAACACAGAAGGCAAGTTGTGCCCCCTCTACCAATCTCAGCCAGCAGCGCTGCCATCTTTTCCTCACAAAGGTTAGGAATAAAACTGGCATGTGGATTTCCAGGTGTATTTGTGGCTGGGAGGGAGTTTTGCTAAGGTAGAGCACCCCAGTAACCTCATGCTAGCAGCAAACGCCCAGCAGCTTCTTTGTTGCAGTCTGTATCAGAGTGGGGACCAAAGGAGCAGGTCTCAGCTGCCCAGTTAGATCAGATAAGCTATAGAGTAGGAGGTCAGTAAGGAAAGAAAAAAACCTCACATTCACACTCAGTCTCTTGAAAGCCTCAATCTCTTGTCCAAAAAGATTTAATAGTATATTAACCTTGGTGATACTTTTTTCTATCAGTAGATGCAAGCTTCAGTAGATCAGTAACACTAGCATGAACTTTTAGGATGAACTCACAGCAAAGCTGTTACAGAGCAAGTCTGACATAGACTATTATCAAGTGCTTTCTAACATTATTTTAAAATTAATCAGTTACTAATGAAGCAAGAAATCAGGCATTAGAAGACAGTCACTATGGAATAGTAATGATGACAGTGCAACAGAACAAAGACATATTGTCAGAGACACCCAGGACAAGAAGAATGAGAAAGGGACCACGGCCAGAAGATGGACCTTCACAAAGAAGGCTTCAGGCAGAGAATAAGTAAGTGCAGAAGCAGAGTCTAAGGCTGCTCGTAGTCTCTGATCCAAAACATCACCTCTGAGACGGGCATCAGGCCAGAGAAACAAGTTCCAGTAGTAGGTGGCTAAAAGGTGCTGTTGGCAGATTTCCTCAAGCCCTTGGGCTCCCCAACTCTCTCTCTCACCACTTGCCACACTCATTGCTGCCTCCTGCCATCTCCTTCTGCCTGCCTCCTGCAGGAAGCAGTAATCAATATGCTAAATATGTCTGTTTAAATAGTATGTACTTAGACCACAAATTACTTTAATGTATAGCACTAGCTGATTAAATCAGCACCACATCTATTACACACAAAAACATGTAGTAAATAAACTAAATGAGGACATGGAAAGGAGAACCCAAATCATGAAAGTTCATCACCTTGCCCAAGGATACTGTGGCAAAAGTGCCACTAGAGCCTTAAGTATAAGCAGGGGAAAGCTTGCACTGCTGCCAGAAGCATCAGTCTTCTTGTCTCCAAGTCACTCATTTCCATTCTTCTGCTGGCACAAACGTGTGCAACAGTGTGGTGATAATTCAGCACCTAGGTGTGCTGGCAAATGAAACTGCTAAGCCACTGTCCATCATAACTGAAAAATCATGGCAGTCAGGAGAAGTTCCCAACAACTGGAAAAAGGGAAAAATAACCCCCATTTTCAAGAACTGGAAAACTACAGACCAGTCTAACTTCTGAAAAGGAGTGGAATCAGCAGGTTGAAGGAGGTGATCCTGCCCCTCCACTCTGCTCTTATGAGACCCCCCCATGGATTTGGGGGGGTGGTTGACAAGAAATTGCACATGAGCCGGCTTCAGTGTGCACTTGAGCCCAGAACCACCCCTGTGTTCTGGGCTGCATCAAAAGGAGAGTGACCAGCAGGTCAAAGGAGGTGATCCTGCCCCTCTACTTCGCTCTCGTGAGACCTCGCAGCACTGTGTGCAGTTCTGGTGTCCTCAACGTAAGGAGAACATGGAGCTGTTGGAGCAAGTCTGAGGATGACCAGGGGTCTCAAGCACCTCCCATATGAAGACAGGCTGAGAAAGCTGGGGCTGTGCAGCCTGGAGAAGAGAAGATGCATGGAGACCTCAGAGCATCTTCCAGTATTTGAAGAAGCTGGAGAGGGACTCTTCATCAGGGACTGTAGGGACATGACAAGAGGTAATGGGCTCCAACTGAAACAGGGGAAGTTCAAGTTAGATATAAGGAAGAAGTTCTTTACTGTGAGGGTGGTGAGGCCCTGGAACAGGTTGCCCAGAGAAGTGGTGAATGCTCCATCCCTCTGAAGTCACTTAAACGTCACTCATTGCAAGGCTGCTCCCAAACTACCAATATCCTTGTAGATAGCCTTTCTTCTAATTTCCATCCTAAAGGTACTCAAAGTCTACCCATATGCTGTCTCTTGTTGCTCATTAACTTAAGAGTGTTGATGAACACCAACACAGCCTAACCCATGTGCCTTCCAGAGAGCTACCATGATCTCTTTATACTTCTAACTAAAGCCAAGCTCCTGGCCTCCTCCTTTAGGACTGGCACTCAATTCTTACTATTGTCATACTAGCTCTTCTTTCCATTGCTTCAGATTAAAGTTAATTTTCCTTAAACATGGCTAACCAAAACTGCTTACAGCACCCCAAATACTTACTATTGCCTGTACAATGGCAGTAAGTTTTCCCCGTCTCTCCCAGAAGCATTTTCCTGACATACCCTAGGACTATATTTGCATTTCTTATAACTACAACATACTGTGACTCAGTTACTGGGGAAAAAAACCATCCTGAGACTTCACTAGCAAGGAGAATGGTTTCTGGTGCATAAGGCTGGTGTTCTTCAGAAGCACACAGCCAACACTGTCCAGCAATGCAAGGGTGGAAGTGATCCACAAAATCCAAATGGAAGTGGAACTTTAGGCGAGGTGACATGCAGCAGTTAATGAAGCTGGCTGCACACCTAGAACATCAGCATTAACACTCTTGCTCTTGCATACTGGTGCCGTAAGATCCTTCAGGCACTTGCTAAAAAAAATGGTCACACTTTCTGTAGGACTAAACACAATCCAGTTAGTCCTACTGCAGCTGCATTCCTCTATCTGCAGCCCACAGGAGGGCTGGGATTTGAACAGTCTATTTTCCCTATACTGGCTTAAATTTATACTAGTGGAAGCAACACAGAATAAACAAGACACTACTGTTTGCTTATGCTAAGGCTGCCTTTTGATGTATAATGGAGGAGAGCTGCTATACAGAATGACAGCTCAAGAGGAGGCCAATTTCCAGAGTTAGAGTTCAAGAGAAAACACAAACTCAGTCCCGGGGAACAGCAAGTGTTGAACATCAGCTCAGGATCAACATCAGGGAGAAAAAGGGGGAATTTTGAGTTTCTTAATGCTGTAAGAATCTCAGTCTCATTCAACTTTAAATAGCGTTAAGTCTCTCCCGAGAGGGATGTGCCTGACTGAAACAGATCTCAGTGTAACCGATAGCTGGGCTCAGGCTTATTGAATGCATCTGGCATGCTAAATTTAGCAGAGCTGTATCTGCAGCCTCTAAGACTTACTGAGGTATCACCAGTCAGGAGGACAGAGGAGAAAAGGGCCCTAACAAATTAAGAGGACTTCAGAGAAGTTTTGTCACCCGCTAAGCAGCCAGCTAGCTTTACTGCTTCTATTTTGGCTTCCAAGTCAAAGCAGGAGTCTAGACAGGATAATCCACTCATAAAATAAAACCAAACCAGAGCTATGAAAGCTATAGACCTGAAGGGTGTGGCTTTGCTTAGAGTAAACTCCAAAGCCAAAAGAGCCTCTCTAGTGTTTTGGGTGGTTTGGTTTGGGTTTCTTTTGAAAGCAGATGAGCTGTCTTGCTAGACACACAAGTTAGGCGAGTTCTTGTGGACAGACTGGTATGTTTCCAATTACCTAGAAGATCTGTGGGCTGTAAATCTACTTTGCCTCACTTGTCAGAAAACCAAAAGGATTAAGTACAAGCCTAACATGCGGAAAAGTCTTACCAATTTGCTTCTGAGCCTCCCCCCCCCAAACCTCTTTAGCTCCACTCAACCACTGAAAACTTCTCTTTGCATGATACCAGATACCCTGCTGGAAGTTACCCCCAGATGTGTGCTGGGCTGTAGAAGGGCACACTGATGGTCAGAAGAAAGCTAAGCAATTTTAGAATCAGAATTAACAGAAGACTTGGGGTTCAAATGCATCTCAGTGTGAACAGGTCTCACTGGCAGGCCTCCTCATTCTGCAAAAACATACTTCAGACCCTCCTTGCCCCTCTCCTTTGTAAGGAAAGAAAACCCCACCAAAACTACAGCACATTGCATTCAAGGTTTCTTCATTATATTTAGGTAATTCACCCTGCTTCAACCTAGAAAACCTGACCATTGTACAGAAAACTGGATTGCAAGAAGCAAAGTTATGCTATAATAGGCTCATAGGCTTCCCAGCTCAAACCTGTTCTTTGAGAGCTGCACTAGACCTCAAATCTAAGCTCAGAACAATCTCAAAACCACACAATCCTAAAGCTGAAGTAGCAGTACAGTTATGAGGATCAGGAAGCATCTCAGCTGTCTCATTATGCAAGGGCAAAGCAGAGGCAGTGAGGTAATTTCAACAAGTGCCAAAGAAAAATAACCTTTCCCAAGAAAATTAAAAGTTCTCTCCCTCTGCAGCCGGATACAAACCGCAGAAATCACCATGCCTACCTGACAGAATGGCTGAAGTCCCAATATATCAGAAATAAATGCAGTTGGCCTAGAACAGAGAAGCAGCCATATGTACATCAGTAGCCCATAACACTCTGCTGTTTCAGAGCAGCTTGTGAAGTAAAGGCTTAGATTTTATACCTGCCTACTCCAGGTGCATCAGTCAGGTGAAAGAGGAAACAACATGCATGTGATCATACAGCAGATAAAGACCTGCCTGGAAGCCTAATTCTCCATTTAAGGTCTAGCCACTTATTAGTCAACTAAACTCACGAGACCATTCAGATTTTGAACCATGATGCAAAGCAGAAGCACTTCACTAGTTTGAAACAACTTAGCTCAAAATTAGTGTTGTCTCTCCATTACCAACAGCCTGAGACATCTTATAAATTACTGCCCCTTTCCATACCCACAGTGCCCCTGGATATAACAATTCTAACCCTTATTTGCCTCCTAGAAGAACATAAACCTTTGCTAACCAGTGTTCATGAAGAGCCTGATGATCCTCGGGTAAGATCAGAGATTTACCTTTCAATTCAAAATAGAAGGGATGCTGGGTTCAAAAAGTGCCTTATTTACATACATCTGTATATCTCAGGGGCCCTTCTCTTGCTTATGTTAGGTTACAAACTATAGAACTGACATATCAGGAGAAAGGCGTTTTGCTGCTTTGCACAAACTATTTCTGTGGGTCACTGAAACACCTCTGTTTACAAATGCCGTGTCCATCAGGTCAGTACAGAAAGAACAGCAGGTCATTCTAGGTCTCCTGACTGCCTCCAGATTTCACCCCCAGGGTTGGTGGGGGGTTTTTGAGGTGTTCAAATCATGCATTATATAAATAACATACCATGGAAAAATAACAGCGCTGTCAGTTTTATGAGCCTACCTTCAAATACTTCTAAAGGAACAACCATTGCAAGCTATCAAGCACAACCTATTTCACCCTCCTCTCCTTTTCCCAGTTTTCAATAACAATGACTTTTTTCTCAAATGAAAGCTAAAAACCCAAACAAGTCTCTTATAATTGCCATTTTCAACCTAATTTGTGATCTTTACTGACAAGAAAATCTAAGTGTTATGTAGAAAAAACTTTCACAAGCCTTCAAATGCTGCCCTGGGTCTCACCCCATCTTCTCAAAAGAAGATTAATATAATGGTCAGATGGTGAAAATCAGATTTCTTTTCAGGGATCAAGATTCTAGTCTCCTATGGGCCAAAAAACACATGGAGCCTGGAAAAGAACAAGGAGAGGAAGGACGAAGGCCAAGTGAGCTCAGGAAGCACTTCATGCATCAAGATCTTAACATACAGCATCATATTTTCAATCCATTAAAAAAACCCAAATAAATTACTCTGTCCTCGGGAAAGTTCAAACACCTTAGCTCAGTCACCTAGTGACGGTGTTGTGTAAATGATTTTGGCTCTATAAAGGCCAATAAAGGCCTATAAAGCCTTGTTTAATTTCCTTCCCATAATGAATTAATTCAATATCCTTTGAAACAAATACAGTTACCCCATTTCAATGTCGTGCTTCTCCACTCTCAGGTCTTCAAGTCCAAGAGTCTCCAAACAACCAGCAATTCTTCTATGCACAGACTGCTTCTCTCATCCCCTCTCCTCCCCACCTCAGACCTCTATCTTGACAAACTTGCTGTTGTAAAACTCCCACAGTGGTCACTTCTTCCCTTCCCCTCTTTCAGCAGGCAGCATAAAGTAATCCTGACATTGCCTGCTCACTTAGAGCAAATGGGATGCAAGGAGGTACTGCACTTCTCTCTTATCAATTCCCAAACAAATGAAAAGACACAACTTCTCCTGTCCTTTCCTCCTCCTGCGGTTAAAAATATCTAGCACCTTCTCAGATTATTGGTCTGAACACTTGTAATGCTTGCCAAATGGGCAGGCTCTATGAGTTCTGAATCATTTCCACTGGATAAAAGTATTTTTCTGGCTCAACCATTGCCCATTATTTCCCATTTTAGAAAAGATTTAATGTGGCAAAGGAGGATGCATCATTTCTCTCGTCCTCAGGAGATGGCAGCAGAGTATGTGGCATTTGGTCATTAACTACATTTTTCACAGAACCTAACAAGCCACTCATGTGAAATGAAGTGAATGGGCAAACACCACTCAAAAACTAAGACTGGGTTCTAAAGTACTTCAATAAAATGTCTACAATCCCTATGCTACCCTCCTATGCTCCAAATACTTCCTACTCTGTGGAATGTCTTAATCTGGTTATGGAATTAAAGTGGTAAGAGTTATAAATCAGGTTAAAGTACCTATAATAAACTGCACTGAGTCTTTATAGACTAATTTAGAAGCTATTAAGCCATTTGTAAGCATGCATATAGGCAAGTCGAGATTTACCATCCATGAAATTCAATGTGGAAAGTATAGCTCACACTTGGACATTTCTAGGTTCAGAAAAATCCTAAAACCAAACAGCGATTTTCAAGCTCAGTTACCTTTTTTGTCCCGCCAGCCATGTATATGACAATTCAGCAGTTTTCTCCTAAACTTGGAACTTCCTCTCATATACGTTAAGCTCAGCACTGTGCTTTGTGACTGGAAAAACATCGGCAGTTCTGTATGAACTCTGTAAAACTAATTCAGGAGAGAAAAACATCTCCCTGTTCTCGTGAGAAACATGCACAACTTCAGGACCTTGAAGGGTTTACTTTGTGAATCCCGGCCAAACAAACAGGTATCAGAGCTGACCCATAGCGACTCATTCTACTTTCAAAACCACTATTGTTTTTCTGTTATCTCACTACTCCCCAGCTGTGGTGTCTCTTCTAGGACAACAGCTAGAACAGCACTAGTCTGCAGAGCCTCTGGATTACCAAATTCTCTGTGGCAGCAGCTACCTGTTGTGTAGCATCTAATCTGAAGGGCTCTTTACGCAGCAAGTCAGGACCCTTAGAAACTACGAAGTGTAAGACTTAACTGCAAACACATAAAAGTTTAGAGGCAGTCTCCTAACAAATTCCTTACACAACAGTAGTGCCCTGTTACTTTCTAAAACAGCGGTGTAACACACAGCTCTCTGCTCCCTGGTTCAATTCATCTTTCATCATGTGGCTCCATGAATGCTGCTGACAGTCCCATCAAAACTGGAGAGAGGTTTGGTCAATGTGACAGAATAACACATATGTACAGGATCACAGGCACTGGGCCCTGCTTGCAACATGCACTATACACTCTATATAGGATACACGCTTTATGTATCTGATTCTTCCGGTCACATAGCAGGTAGAAGCATATGACAGAGCATGTGCACCCTGTATTACTCCCCTTGTGTAACGTGGTTTTAGGTAAGGGCAGCAAGGAAAGGCTGGATAACCTATTCTCACAGGCTCCATCTGAACATCACTGAAATGGGTCAGTAAACCACCCTTACTGTAAGACATCACAAGGCCACAGACAGTGACCAGCAAACACTCAAGAAACAATGCAAGATTTTCCACTGTCTTTCCTTAAAACCAGTGGCATAACAACTGTACTGAAAATATAAAACCACTGAGCAACAAGCGATTCAACATTGCGAAGGCATGAAGGTGTAGGGAGTATTATTTACATCTGCTCTACAAAACCAGACAAATTACTACAGACTGTAGAAAACAAGTCCTCTCCATTGGAATTTTTCATTGTGCAAATCCAATTCTAAAACAGATTTTCAAATTCCAGACCTAACAATAGTAACATTTAGGAATACAATAAAAAGATGAATGAATCTCTAGGGAATCATGAAGTTAACTAACAGAGCAGTGAATTACCTCAGTCTTTTAACTCATCTCTAAACTATTAAAATCATTCAGAAGATGAGAAACGAGTGAACACAAAGCCAAGTAACACGGAAACAGTACCCAGTTCAGAAGCTGGTGTTTTATCTCATCAAAAAAGGAAACCCCACAAAATTTTAAAGCAGCTGAGAAAGCAAAAAAACCGAACCTTTCACCCTCACTGAAACCAGAGGTCCTCTGCAAAAGTCACCTAGTCTCAAACACCCCCATGACAGAGATTCTACAACCCTCTGCGCTATTACTATTGTTATGTGCTCTTTGGAATTCAGAGCTAAGAAGGAGGGCTGCAAGCAAAACATGTTGCCTACACAATCTCTTTCAGATTTGAAATTTCCAATTGTCAGTGGACTTGCTAGTTTCTTTTGTCATTCTTTCCCTGCCAAAGCAGACTGTTGATAATTACAGCTGATGTTACGGGTTTCAGTGCTCTCAAACTTCTCTCTGCACTTTGCAGTGTGGGTTACTATGCAATGCATACACTCCAAGGAAAAATACTCAGATGGAGTAAGTTTGTTCAAAGGAGATTCAAAAAGACAGATCAGAATCCTGCAAACAGCACATTAGCTTCTGTATGTTGGAAGTTGAAGCTTTAGATCTATTTCTGGACCCACCTTCTGACACTACTTGTTTCTTAGGGATCTTCTCCAGTCTTTGCAGCTTGACAAACAATTTGGTTTTGTTCCAAAGTATCCCTATGTAATTTAATATATTCCTTCTGAAAACTTTGCCCAGTCCTTTGATTCTCTCATTGTACTGAGTTATTTTTCAGTTTCTATCATCCTGTGTGCCCCAATGTGAATTTTTACAGAACACCTGGATTCAATATGGAGATTTTATTCTGCACAAAAATTTGCTGCGTGGCACTAACGGAGTTTTGACAGGAATATACTGCTCTTCAAAGAGATGAAAGAGTATCAAAAAAAGCAGAAATACACAACTATAGAACCCAAAGACATCAGTTCTGAAGTCAAATCAGGATTAAACCTGCCCAAAGTGAAAGCAAAGTAACAGAAATAAAGGTTTTGGTGCTCTGGAAGCAGAAGAGGGGTACACATACCTTGGGTAGTGCCACTGCGTCATGGACAGCCCTGGCTGTGAGTTGCCAGGAGACTTCCACGGCTCCCACTTGACATGTCTGGGCCGGTTTCCACCTCACACCTCCATACCCCAGTAATCCCCTCAACTCAGGACCGACAAGGGAGGATAAAAGAAACCTGGTTTCGTCAGAAGCACTGCTGAACGGTGACCACATCACCTGCCACTTCATCCCGAGCGCTGTTGCTCTTCTCAATCATCCTCTCTATAAGGTGACTAAGAGGTGAAGTGCCCTACTTCACACAGCATGGTGCAGGCCAATAAAGGATTTACAGATATCCTAAACACACCTATGTCTCAAATTAGTCAGTTTATTTGCAAATCATTGCTGAACTTCTCTCTACAGGTATCTACCAACACCTTGCAATGCCTGAACCTGCTTACACACCGTAAGAAACAGCCAAACATCTGTTATCAAGCAGTCTTGTTGTGTGACCTCACAATGACTGCTAATAAGCTAAACCCCTTATCATTTCTAAGTAAAAGCTTAAATGCTTCGGCTTCCATTCACCCTGCCTTAAGCTGCCAAACTGGAATAATAATACCCAGCATTGCATAACACCAGTTTCAAGGGGACTGGTTTAATACTCCTTTGAGAAACAGCTGTGTAAAGCTTCCTTTGCAAACGTGAAGAAACTGAGGTATGGAGAAGAAGGTTCATGTTTGGTGGCACACAGATGACTCTGACATTGATAAACATCAGGTGATTTAACCAACATTGAAAAACCTGTCCTAATGTGACCTGTGCAAGGTCAGGCAGGTCATCTGACACCTAACTAGAACCGTGACTCTAAAAGTCTCCTGTCCTGTTTAATCACTGCTCCTCACTGCCTCCACCGAGCAGGAAACCGAGTGTTGCAGTCAGCCACGTCTGAAATCTCTAGGTTTTGAAGAGCCACTGAGAAATGCAGCCAGGCCCAAATAAGCGTTGCTATAGAAATCAGACACAAAACACAGCTCGTTTTCACCCATTTGCGTTGTACAGCCTCCACGCAGACAACACCTAAAGATCTAAACCAACAAAAGTACTAAAAGGATGTTACAAACAACAACACTGCAAAACCACTCGTCCGAGAGTAGCAGCTTCGTACAGACCCAGCAGCGCTTCTTTGCTATGTACAGACGAGTACCAACGACCAGACAGGAGCATGCCCCGCGCCGACTGCTCCCCCCGTTCGTCCTGTCGATCGTTCGAGCCCACAAGCCGTAATCACTCAGGAGCACGAAGAGCCGCTGCGTCCCACCGGCTCACCAGTTTCCCTTACGGCAGCAGAAGAGATTTCAGGGCGAGAGAACTCCTACTAAGAACACTTTTTGGGTGGGAAGGGCACCACAGGGCAGCCGAGCGACCGCCGGCTTCTCTCCCTCCAAGGCACTTCGCTTGACACCAGCCCCGCGGCGGTGCAGACCACGGCCGCTCTCCCGGAGGGCAGAAGACGGCAGCGACATCCCGTCCCATTCCCGAGGCGCCAACGGCATTGCTCAGCTCCTCCATTTCCACCTCCCGCCGCCCCCCTCAGCCCGCCGAGCCTGGGCCCGCTCCGCTCGGCAGTCAGAGAGTCGGCGAGGCCGGGCCGGGCCGATCCCCGTGGGGCGCGCTGGGCCCGCACTCACCCCTTCATGGTGCGACCACGGCCTGGCCGGCACCGACGTCCGCGCTTGCTGCGTACAGGTCCTAACGGTGCAACTCCGGCCTCCGCCTCCTCCTCGGCCCGGGCAGCGCGGGCGGCTCAGCCTCCTGCTCCCGCGCCCGCTCCACATGGGCCTCCGTCCGCCCGTCCGACCCGCCCCCGTGACCCCTCACCTCACGCCACAACCCGCGCGCGCGGGGGACGCCGGATCGCGCTGGGGCGCTTCCGGTGCACGCAGCGGCGCATGCGCACTGGGGCCGGCATCAGCTGATAAAGCTCCGCCGCTGCCGGAGGAAGGAATAGAGTCTCGGGTGTGCCGGCGCTGGCCGCAGGTGAGACGCTCCGGCCTTTTCTGCTCCGTTCTTTTTTGTCCTCCCCTGTCCTGAGGCACGCCTGGAGGCTGCCATGCGCCCGGCGGGTTGCGGTGAGCAGGAGAGGGGTCGTCTCGCCCCTTCCTCAGCCGCGGCCGTTACCTGCCCGGTGATCTCCCTGCCGAGCCGCTCTCTGAGGGAGCGCGCGCGGCCTAGGGCTCCGGGAGGGGGAAGGCTGTAGAGGGGGCGTCCGACCTTGAGGGCGCGGTGAGGGCGGAGGGCTGCGCTGCGTGCAGAGGCCGAGCCTGCCGCCTCCTCGGCTGCGGCTGAAGCACCCAGCGCTGCGTGCGTTGTCTGTGCGGAGCCGTTCCGCAGTGGGAGAGCTCCGCTGGCGGCGGCGGTGGCCTTCCTCGTCCCGTTTCGGCTGGAGAAAAGGCCTGGGAAAAGCAAAGATCTTCCTTGCTGAGTGCTCTCGAAGATGTTTAAGATGTATGGATGTATTAGAATCCATTTTAAAGAGAAGTGGGGATAGTGGCTGGGTTTCTGTGCTGGATCACCATTTTGGGTGGGTGTAACTGGATCATGGAATAGTTTGGTTTGGAGAGGAACTTAATGTAGTTTCGCCCCCCTGCCGTGGGCAGGGACACCTTTTGCTAGACTAGATTCCAGACAAAGCCCTCTCCAACCTGGCCTTGAGCACTGCCAGGGATGGGGCTTCCACAGCTTCTCTGGGCAACATGTGCCACTGGTTCACTATTTGCAGTTGTTTTGTGCGTTGACCATAGCCCTGCAGCTATGGTCAAGGCAGAGCGAGTGAGCAGCAAAGTTATGGAACACAAATGTTG